TAATTTTTAAGTTGTACCAGCTATATGTATTACTTTAAAAATAAATATTTTATTTTACGCCATCTTCAATCAACAATAAAATAGGTGATAAATCGATCTCACATTTTCGCCCCTATTGCTAAAATCCCCACAAAACTCCCAATCGGCTCCGGATTCCCCAAAATTTGGGGAATTCCCAAATTGGCAACGCTGGAGGTTAGCGTGTTCTTTCTGAATATGCTAAGACTAACGGACTAGTGTCGAAACACAGATAGCTAGATGGACGTATTTCGGCTTGACAGAAACAGTGCTGCCACAGATAAAAATATAGTTTTTACCTTAGGCAAGGAAAGAGAGGGACAGGTAACACGGCAGCTGAAAGTGAAGCAAGTTGTCACCAGGCAAAATTCTCAATCGTAACATCAGAAATTAGCTTGTACCTAGACGGTACAAAATATTATTATATATTAAAACGTAAACTAATATATCGTTCATTTTTGAGTAATGCATATACAATTTTGTATTTTATAGTCTCACCTTTATATATGCAAAATTTATTTAAGAGTCACAGTAGACTGATTATCAAGACATTTATTTATTAACGTGTGTATAATGTATAATAAAAAATAATGTAATAACATATGTTTTAAACGTGTATATACATATAGGTGTACTGTATGATCGAAAACACGGCGTCTTGTTTGTTTGAAATGACAATTTCACAAATGAATATTAAAAATTACATTATTCATTGAATCCGTAAGCAAGTGTGAAGGGAATTGGCTAGATTCATTATTATACCGTATAAAAAAAAAAAACGACGTCCAGTTGGCTTGTAAATTACGATCGATGGCATTCCCCATATAATTCTACATATAAAATTAAAAAGGTAGAAAAAGACTCAAGTCTCGGTCTCAACGTTTATACAATGTTAAACTGTTACACGTGTCTCGCTCATATACGAGCATCATCAGACCTAACAAGAAAGAACCTAAATAAATAACAAATAATAAAAAGGTCGTCATAACTTACAAATATAATTAAAATTAATCCAAATACACGTTCACATTTTACAATTAAAACAACACTGAGACGAGGCTGAAATGACCGGCAAATATTTGTCAATAAAAAACAAACAGGAACAAAAAAATAAAACAAAATCAAAAATAAAATAAAAAATAGAATAACCCAGCGGAATTTGTACTCTAGCCTCCCGGGTGGGAACCAGTGAGCAAAGCCACCAAGCTACCATACTACTGAAGTAAAGATTCAGAACTCAACAATAATACACGGCCGAATTAATCTTATTACTTGATTTATTGGAGAAAATGGAAATAACTAGAGCTAAAAAAAGTCCGGTTCTTGTGTGCGTGAATGACATTTTTAATTTCGAACCAACATTAATTTTCAATAATCTGAAAGATTAATTCGGCCGTGTATTATTGTTGAGTTCTGAATCTTTACTTCAGTAGTATGGTAGCTTGGTGGCTTTGCTCTCTGGTTCCCACCCGGGAGGCTAGAGTTCAAATCCCGCTGGGTTATTCTATTTTTTATTTTTTATTTTATTTTTGATTTTGTTTTATTTTTAGTTCCTGTTTGTTTTTTATTGACAAATATTTGCCGGTCATTTCAGCCTCATCTCAGTGTTGTTTTAATTGTAAAATGTGAACGTGTATTTGGATTAATTTTAATTGTATTTGTAAGTTATGACGACCTTTTTATTATTTGTTATTTATTTAGGTTCTTTCTTGTTAGGTCTGATGATGCTCGTATATGAGCGAAACACGTTACACATATTTGTGTTATTTTATTTATTTTTAAATTTTTATTAATTACTTACTGAAACTGTTATTATACACCTAAATTAGCAAATTTTTTGAAAGAATATTTAAAAAAATATAGTAACAAGTAGCCCACCACAAGTTTGTCCACCCCCAGCATATCTTGGCAGGTAAATTTAAGTTTTATATAACAACTATACATATAGATTTTTATCACTAGAATTTTTCATTTTTTTTATAGTTTACAATTATTTTACTATTTGATAACAATACTTTATACTTACCATTTTTTACATGTAAAATATGTAAAAAAATGTTTATTGCAGAAATTGTATTTCTCTAATTATAATTCCCTAGGCCACTGGAGAAATCCATGCTGAGTAGCATTATTTATAGTTTCAAACATTAATTATGATACAGGATATTGAAAATACTACTTGGAATTATTAAAAATAGTTTTGTTAGGATGTTGTACAAGACATATTAAAAGCATTTTACATATTTTTACTGCTATAATGAAAAAAATGTACATTTTATGACCACATAACAAAAGTTGTGTGTCGATTTTTACCTGTGAAATGTAATTCCAGCCACTTTTTTCTCGCTTCGGCCTTTGCAGCCATACGCTGAACATTTCACCATACTAAATAAACAACACAGTTTATAAATTTAAAACAAAACAGTATTCACAAAAAGCATAAAAATTCGCTTGGTGTCACCTCGAAATCTTGTCACCAAAGTATGGCCGCCGATCAAATTTTGGCCTCAAAAATTTTTCACTGAAGAATATGCGTGTTAGCTGTCCCCTCTCTTTTCTTGTCCAAGGTTTTTACATTTTATTGTGTATTACCAATAATAGAAAAATTAGATATCTCCACTCTTTTTACTTTGAATATTTTTAATCGTGATTTGATTTTTTTCAGAAATTTTGTTTCTATTCACCACTATGTTTCCATTCCCCCCATTTTACGGTACGTAAAAGGTGATAATAGTTATCGGAAAATGTGATACTTTAACAACAGCAAAAAATATGATGTTAATCAAAATTAATAATAACTATTTATCAACAGGGGGGTGACAGTAAACCGGAAAATTGGAAACAGTTGTGGCGCGGTTCTACCCAGGCAGAAAGCATGGCCTTCTAGACTGTCCTAGACAAAAATCTGAATATTTCTATAATATATGATTTCTGTTAATTTCTGCTACGGAACATTTTTATGCACGTCGGCGTCCTGTTCTTTTGTCTTTTGTCTGTGTGTCAGCGTCAGCTCCCGAGGCCTCTGGCAAGGTCGGGCGCCATTTTAATTTTTGCCGTTTAGATTTGATTGGAAGTTTGTTTCTGATATTTCGGCTGAAATTTATAAGTACAAAGATGTTTTTTGATATAAAGTTCCTTGTTAACACTTTAATAAAGTATATATGATATTAATTACATGAAGAAAATGATGAAATCGACGTTTCGGCGTGTAGCAGGTATGGGCCATATTATAGGTAAAAATAGGTAATATATTAACTGTTTTTATATTTTTTTAGCTTTAAACCCAAGGATCTTGGGATATTCTTTCAAGGATTTTTCCGTATCTCTACTTTAAAGACTGATCGGTGATTTTGAGCAATTGAAAGCAAGTTATACAAGGTAAATTATGATTATTGAACTATTATTAGCCTACGTTAAATTTCTACAAGATGAACAGAAATGCGTAATTACATATCACATAGGTACCTATTATGTATTTTCATAGCAATAATGCTATAAATCTATGTATGTAGATTATTTTTAAAATACAAATGAGGTATTAGATGTATATGTATCATATTTTTTATTCATTTTATTTTCATTCAAGTCCTGTTTGATTTAATTCACAAAAGTCTTATGTAGGTACCTATATTTATATTTTTTACATATTTTTTTTGATTCCAGGTTTTGTGTGGGTTCCGGTTGCCTTTTTCCTGCTTCCAGTTATTTATCCGTGAAGCTGTGAAAACATTTATTTATCTTCAAGTTTCTGTAAGTCAATGCACTGTTACTTTACTAATTCGCTTTAACACAGCATCTCTGATATTATTTAAATATTTAATATTGATACAGTAGTTTATTGGTTTATAGCTCTTTAATTGTGTTGATTTGCATATTTACATTGTTCTAAATTCCAAATAAATATTTTTGAGTAATTTTGTTGTATTATTTACTACTAGAAAGAGTAAAAAGTATATTACCCTCATTTAAACCTCCTGAACAGCCCGCCATTAAAAACCGGAAACGGAAATAAATTTCATAAAATTGAAATTGTCATGTCTATGTCATGTCAAATGTCCCAGCCGCCATATCTGAAAATTAGTTACCCAGGCAGCCACGCTGTTTCCATAATTTAACATTGACTTGACACTTCTTCTTGTATTTATTATTTTATGTTTATCAAAGAACGAAATCAAAATTATATATTACCCTAGAAACGCCTTTTAATTTTTTGGATTTTCTTTAGGAAAAAGTTCAACAATATTTTCATTTTTTTTAATTTTCTCAAAAAGGATATGGAAATTTGGAAAAGTATAAACGGGATTAACCATTTTAGAACAAGCAAATTTTTATGAAGAATGCATTTTTCTCAAAACGTCAATAATAAAAAAGCTTTTACTCTTGTAAAGACAATCCGGGGACATACTGTATATTAGATGCAGTTCTAAACTTCTTATATACCTACTTTTATTTTATGATATTTAAATATCAATGGGTTGTTATTAATTTTTAAATTGATTTATACCACTTTTAAATTAGTATATCCCAATCGTCTCAATCAAAAAATCGATAGAGTAATAGTCCAATAAAGTAGAGTAATAAAGTAGCTCGGCAGAATATTTTAATACCTTTAAATGGATTATCGGGATTATTGACAGTTTTTTAACTGCTGCAACTTAAATTTCGAACTTTCAAAAACTTCAGGAAGAGGACTTTTAGCTTTTAATACTTTACTTTATTTTTAATTTTATGTAAAAACCTTTGCTCCCTTTTATAGTCTCTTGGTGTAAACATATTTAAGGGTGTATATTATATAGAAATATATTTAAGCAAGACTTTATTTTTTGAGAAAATTTCGAAGCACAAATTTTTTTCGTAATTATATTTTTTTGAGTATAAGAAAGAATACTGAGTATAAATAATAAGTCTTCGAAACTGCTTTGTTTTATAAATAATATGATAAAAACTTTACTTTTATAGATAAAGAATATGAACAAACTTACGGGTAGTAAATCCAATCCAGCCACAGCTCCTGGAGTAGGTGCACGTGGTCGAGGGGAGCCACCTGGAGAACTGGTCGTGTCTCCGCAGGTACGACTTAACGGAGAATCTACTGAAACCAAATAAAACAAATTTCTTACTTTAAAATTAGTTTAATAATCCATGGTGCGACTTTAAAATACTTTAAAATTCATTATCAAGACGCTTTATCTTCATAAACAACATTCGTTCTATAATGTGAAGTAATCCAACTTGACAACATAACCCTAATCTGTCTCATAACAACGTAATTAATCTCTTTACCCTGAATAGCTTCTTAGCATTATAGTTTCAAAGAGTAAAACATGTTAATACTCTTGTATAAACGAATTAGAAATTTATGAATAAATGAGACGTTAATTTTTCTCATAAAAATTGTCAGAATCAATTTATCATTATACTCTGTTTTTTTTTCTCAGGTAAGATTTCGACAGACGATGACAGAAGAAAAGCAGATGACGTCCCATACCAATCTATTTATTTTACTAAAAAAAGTTTCTAATAATTTTTAAGTTAACTATGGATGGGTTTAAATATAAATTCGTGATGCGTCGTCACTTGTTGTTTTTAACCAGTTTTATTGGTTTATTTCAAAAATGACAGATCGTATTTCAATTTTATTGGTTTGACGGAACGATGAACGACAAACGGACGCCGATGCGTATGAACTCGCCTTTAGATTTTTGACGTTTGTCAAAGTCTTGCCAAATTATAGGTTATAATTTTGTGACAACTTTTGTCAAATACCCTGCGTTTTGGAAGATGATGCATTTTGATTCGTGTTATTGCGAGTGTTTTGTGTCTTTTGAAGTCAAGCGGAGGAAAAATCGAGTGAAAATTAACTGTAGAACCCAGAGCACAGTTTATGGTTAATACTCGCTGCCCAGGCAGAAAGTTTTATACAGATACACCCCAATAAAGTTACTATCAATAAGGGCCATACTAAACACATACTAAGAACTGGAGCAGCTGTAAAAAATCAACATCACACGATAGGTAAATAATGGATTCTAGTACTGCAGAAAAATAATGTCAAAAGGTACTGGTTTAAAAAAATTAAGTTAATTAATCAACCTGTGAGGTATAAAATTTGGTAAGTGTTATTATTAATAAAATAGTTTGTTTTATTTATTCCTGCGGAATATTACAAATTTGTATTTGTACATAAGTTATATTGATAAATATAATCATAAATGATTGGAAGTTTCATAAAGCTTGAAAGTAAGAAATAGTTCTTTTTTATATTTTTTGGTATGTGGTGGCTTGTTTTTGTTTGTTTTGTATTAACACATACCGTTTTTTATTAAATAAAATAACTCGATTACATTTTTTCAGTTTTTTACAGTTTTTTTCACAATATTTTGAAGTTATTTGTCAGTCAAATTTTAAATACATATATTAATTTCCTGCTATGCGTTCCAATTGTACCAACTTATTTCTTTGTAAAATAAGGTAAACTACTTTGAAATTAAAATGACAGACACATCTATCACTGTCAAGGATCTTCTCGTTGGACAGACTATATTGTCCTATATTGTATGTTTTTTACATTTAACTGTTGGCCGTTTTATAGCATATACCCTGCTGACAAGCAAAACCTTGGGTCGGCGTTTACATATATAAGAGTGAATCACTATGGCAATCTAGTAAGTCGGAGAGAGCAAAAATAGGAAGTATTTATACATAACCACTTAATCTGACGCTAGATTCCATGCGCTTGGGAAAATACTCGCCTTCTGTCTTTATTCAGTTACATCTTATTTTGCTAAACGTGTTGACAGTACTCTTCGTACTGTTACGTTTTTCGTCGGTTCCGTGTGGATAGAAAGTCACAATTTATTTAAACACTATTTATTTAACACTAATTAACAAAAAAACAATAACGATAAAAGACTTATAAAACTATTTACAAACGATTCGTAACTAAGAATTTATTTTGAATAACTGCCCTCTCTAGGCCACAGCCGCCGGCTTTTATACCTACAGTTAAAGTTTACTAGAATAGTCCATAGATCGTTAGGTGCGTAGAGAAGGTTTTCGAATGTTCTCGTATGTACTAGTCCATTCCAGTGGGACTCGATTCTTCTCGAACGAATGAATCATTACCGTGTCTATTCTTTAATGCGATGTTAAGGTCATCCGAGGGCGGGCCATATAGTTAGGTTAGGTCGAGTCCACACCGATCCGCAACACTGCCGCCTTCTTAGGTACATGCTCGTCCCGAGATGTACACCGTGAAGGAAGGTATTTGCAAAGCTGGCCCCTGGTACATTGCGATGTCTGGTAGAAATAGCAGTCTACAGTTTTCTCTCCCGATCTCAGCTTTGGGTTGTAGCAACAAACAAGGATCTCGATTCCCGTAAATCTGAACAAGACTTCAATCATGTTCCGGATTTTACGCCAACTCAAACCATCGAGTCCACACGCCAGCTTCGGAATGGCTAATCGTGCAATGTTGTTGTTTAGCAGGGCTTCTCTCAGTTCAATCAGAGTCTTCCATAGATTGAGATAAGTCGGCTTACTCGGGGATCATTCCTTGGTGACCAGGTAGAAGATGTGTCTTGCTTGACCATGTGCATTGTCAAAGACGCTTCCAACCTCTGGATCCTGTCGGCGTAGTTCTCCGACACGCCCAAACTTCTCATTGAACGTCGCAGCGATTCCTCTGGACATCCGCAAATCTCGGGCCACACAGTGAGCGAGCTAATAATCAGAAGGCACGGAAAAGAGATTTAGTTGTTCCTCTTTGGTTACACCATAGCGAGCCTTCTCACTGCTGTTGTATCGGGCCATGAAATCGTCAAAGGACATCTCCGAATCAGGGGATCAAAGCTGCAGGTTCTCACGGTCCCAGCACGATCTTCTATTTCGCCTTGGTAGGGGCTCAAACGGTTGAAATGGACTACCCTCGGTTTTCCTTTTGGCAATTTTCTGATACGGTATACGACGTCATTAATCCTATCCATGATTTCGTATGGCCCTTCCCACGAGGATTGTAGCTTCGGAGGTGTTTATTCTTTAATGCGATGTTAAGGTCATCCGAGGGCGGGCCATATAGTTAGGGTAGGTCGAGTCCACAGCGGCAACAGTACACACGAAAATCGTCACCCAAGACCAGAAATGCGAGCCCTAATATAAGTGTACATTAACCAAAATGTTGTAAAAAAAATCAAGAGATTTAAGAATATTAAAATAAAAAGAATTAAACAAACATTTTCATTCCCGTAAAGTTTTTGAATAAAAAGGTTAAAAAAGGAGCATATCAAAACTCGAGATCAAACGCGACGGGACTCTAAAATGGCCGACTTAAATTCCGGTTTATCGGTGCCGTTCTAATTTTATTCAAAACGTGTAAAAATATGACGTAGGGTAGACTCAATAATTTTTTTTTTTTAATTTTTCGTTGTCAATAAATGTTGGTAGTTAAAATTGTTATGAAAATATATAATTCTAATAAAGATAGATAATTTATAATAATTATTTATTAACACAAACATCCGATACGCTACTGAAGCAGGAAGTCAAATTGACGTATCTAAATTCTTTCACATCTAATCTTTGACAAGTAGTAAATAAAAACAAAAATGCAAGAAAAAATATATAATTAGTTAGTTTTAAGAGAATTTCATAAATGATTGGTATACCACACGTATGTATATTATACAGGGTTGTTCACCACATACGACACGGAGTATTGTAGCTAAACGATGAGATTTTTACAAATTGTAAGTTTTGGGTTCGATGAAGGACTATTAGAGGTACAATTTAAAAATAATTTTACAAGATACAGAGTGTCCCAAATAAGTAAAAAATATCAAAGTTGTATTTTTTAATGAACACCCTATATATTATTACATTTTAGTTTCTACGATTAAAATAAAGGTAAATTTGATTAAGATTTATTATGCTTAAACCTTACCGTTTTTGAAATATTTTCAATTTTGTGAAATTCAGTAAAATTTTAAGGCTTCATTTCTCCAAGGGTATCAAGTCTTTTAATACTTAAATATTTACTGAAGTTTATTTACTGATCCAGTTATTGTGTTGCAATAATCCAAAATAATACTACCTTAGTAATAGAGTTTCGTAAAATTTATTTTAAATAATTATTAGCTTCAAACGGCAATAACTTGTATAATTTAAATGGAATACCCCGTATATTTTACGAGAATCAGATGCACAATTTAATTGTCTATCAAATTATATTATACAATTTTTTACCTATCTCTTTAAGTTTCCGTAGAAAATGCATTTTCTTGTAATTTAGAACTTATTTATCAATCTACCCATGGACTATTGACATTTTAGATTATTTTTAAAGATGTACCAAATTAAAAATTTAATAACAACAAAGACTTTAATTTGATAACTTATTATTATATTGATTTCTGACTCAAAAATCCACATTTATTTATAATAATTTATTAACGAACACAATTAAGTATGTCATTAATTAGTATATGGGCGGAAATAATGGTGTTATATTTAATTAATGGTATACTCTTTTATAAAGATTTAAATAGTTTTCTTTTTGCATACAAATGGGCTAGTAATATTATCGTTTTGCTAAAAACGATAATATTACTAGTCTGTACATTTTGGTTTGGTTTTGTTGCTTTAAAAACAATCTAAAATGTCAATATTCTATGGATATATTGATAAATGAGGTCTAAATTATAAGAAAATTCATTTTCTACGAAAACTTGAAGGGATAGGTAAAAAATTGTATAATACAATTTGATAGATAATTTAATTGTGCATCTGATTCTCCTAAAATATACAGGGCATTCCATTTAAATTATAGAAGTTATTGCCGTTTGAAGCTAATAATTATTTAAAATAAATTTTTAGACACTCTGTATAAGGTAGAATTTTTTTATTATTGCAACACAATAACTGATCAATAAATAAACTTCATTAAATATTTAGTATTAAAAACATTGATACCCTTGGAGAAATGAAGGTTTAAAATTTTTACTGCAATTTCACAAAATTGAAAATATTTCAAAAACGGTAGGGTTTAAGTATAATAAACCTTAATCAAATTTACCTTTATTTTAATCGTAGAAA